CTGGGTGTTGTATGGAAACCAACTTGTCAATAAAACTATTTAAAAAAAAATATATATATATATATACACATAAACTAGAAAAAAATTTAACAAAGAAGCAAAGAGAATCTTATATGAAAATGCTCTATCCATAAAAATGAGATACTAATCATTTATTCATCCCCAATAATTAGAAAAACCTTTAATTTTTATTTAGATGGTAGAGGCATGGACATAAACAAAACAGACAAAACTCTGTCCTCAGAAAGCTTATATTCAGTGAGGTGGACAAAATATAGGTGATAGAAACAACATAACATGACAATAGGGAGAAAAGCAGTAATGATGATTAAGGTAATAGGGAAGTGTCTCATAAAGTGAAATTTTAAGGAAATAAGTAGTAAAGAATGGCTGGAGGAAGAGGATCCAAGTATAAGAAAAACTGTTTTATTTAAGCATTACACTATACTATGTTTAATAATGATGGGCAATTAGGACTACTGGTATTTACAAACTGCCGCTGTAATTCATTCGGCACTCTGATTTGCTGATTACCTATTTTAGAAAAACTGATTACCTATTTCATGGATAATATTTATACATATTTATACTACAGCTAAGAACCCATGCAGTTTTATTAAAGGCTATCTATCAAACAAAAGGCTTTGGCACCACTGTTAACAAATAAAAGTCTAAGAAAAACTGTCAATAGTTGGCTGCCAAATAGAATTCTTAGGGAGTATACTGGGACGTGAAATCTTGATTAACTTTTATATTCTATCTTTGTATAGTGGTGTGTGCTTTTATTGAGCCACCTGTCTCCAAAATTTATGATGCACACTATCAAGAGGAAAATAGCACACAAAATATACATCCAATTATGTAAGTTATGTATATATACAACCCTATTATACCATATACATTGTAAAACAGGCACTAAATGTGACTTGCCTAAAGCTTGATTCAAAAAGCACTTTTAACATTTCTAGATAGAGTGTAATAAAATGCATTGTGGGGTGCCTGGTTGGCTCAGTCGGTTAGGTGTCAGACTCTTGATTTGGCTCAGGTCATGATCCAGCCCACATGGACTCTGTAGAACGGACCCTGCTTGGGATTCTCCCTCTTTCAAGACAAATAAACTTAAAAAAAAAATAAAATGTGAGTATCATAAATAGGGCCTAGCATACCTTGGTTTGCTAATTACATTAAGTACAGAAATCACATCATTTTAAAGTCACAAAGAAGGGAACTCACTGACTAGCTATGTCATTTTACATAGTATCCACAAGCTTGCAGTACATACAAGATGACCAAGATCTAGAAATGAGTTTTTGGAAACTTTTGGAAACATGGGTCAATTGCTGCAGTTTCCTTAAATGTTTAAAGATACCTCATCCATCAGTGCTTGAATGTTCACCTGGAACTAGCATTCCAGTCATTTAAAAGGTGTAATACTGAACACTATAAAGCCTACAGAGAAAAATACATGTCTTTAAGAAGTCTCTTTCGGGGCGTCTGGGTGGCTCAGTCCGTTAAGCGTCCGACTTCAGCTCCGGTTATGATCTCACGGTTCGTGGGTTCGAGCCCCGCATTGGGCTCTGTGCTGATAGCTAGCTCAGCGCTTGGAGCCTGTCTTCGGATTCTGTTGACTCCCTCTCTCTCTGACCTTCCCCTGCTCACGCTGTCTCTCTCTCTCTCTCTCTCAAAAATAAGTAAAACATTAAAAAAAAAGTCTTTTTCATTTGTTAGATATTCTGTTGCCAAGACTGTGCCTAATGGTCCCACTAAGCCTAAAGGTAGGATTCCTATGATTATAGAATTCGCTTCACTCCTGCCTTCTACTTTCTTTACCAACATGTTAAAAGCAGCTAATTTAGACTAGCAGATTTTTAGTTTCAATCCAGTCCACATTGTATACCTCCAAGTCTCCCCATTCTTCAGTGTAGAAGCTGCTTTACCTTTCTCTTTCCTCACAGTTAGAAAAAGAAAAAATTACCACTACCTTTATAAGGTGACAAAATAGGGTTTTGGGGGGATAATGAAAATACAAGCTTTTGGAATTAATTGTTCAAAGCTTAGTATATATACTATCATGTACTAATAATTAGCATAATGATACCCAACCAGCTTAATAGTTTCTCCAAAACATTTTATTAGCGCTCTCCCTGGACAAAAACCCAAAGACTATTCCAAATGAAAGCAACTAAAAATTCCATTCTGAAAATGAGGTTAAGAGCCTTAGATTTCCAAAATCTCAGTTATACAACTGGTGTTGGTCATCAGGTAAAGCAGTTGAATGGTCTACAGTAAAGTGTTAAGTGACACTCATGAGACTTGAATATTTCCACTCTACCCATCAAGTCCCGCATCCTGCCCTTGGCATCCCCATCCCTCAGCAAAGGCTCATCACAAATGTGCCCAGAAACAAACAACTGTTCTTAAAACTGCTACTTAAGTGTACCTCCTGGCTCTACAATTCAAGTCTGATGACAAAAAGTTATAAGCAGCTTCATCAGGGCCAATCACGGTCAACAGCAACTAACAGCTACAGAAAGAGTCTCAGCACTGGTTTCCCCAGCTTTTTAAACCTAAGAAACAATATCATTTTAAAAATTAACTCAAGCAGATGGTTATTCACTTTCCAATCTGATCATGGAATGCAGGGCAAGGGTTTTGCCAGTGACTCAAAATATGCATGAGTTTTTGAAGAATGATCATTAAGACATATAGTTCATATTAAAATTAAAATGCACTCCTATCTCTACCCCTCCAGGATGGGATATTTTCAATTTGTATTACACATCTATCAATGCTCTCAAAAAATATTTTACACCACAGCTGTTAACTACTTAGTACCCTAGTAGGTACTTAGGTACTAGGTATTTAGTACCTAGTACCATCAAATATCAAGACAATCTAGATTTCTTCTGTTAGGACTTTAAGTTTTTCCACAAATGACACAGATAGTCATTCTATATAATCAGGCATTAAAAGATTCATCTTTGCTAACTGAAGTAACATGGTACAGCCATTTTCAAATTAAAATCAGATTCATTCTGAACTAGACCTTGGTTCAGATTTTTGTAATAAAGATATAATACACCATATGTAGGAAAACACTTCCAAGATTTGATCTGCTTCAGACAGATCAAATAGGACTCGCAGGTCATTGAGCCTACCTTCTTTGTTAAATTTTCAAAACCCTTCTGTGGAAATAACCCACCAGTAACTATTTACCGTTAATGTCTTTGTGTAATGTCTCTGCTCAGATCTCAAGTTAAAGAACTCCTAAAATTTAAGGTATCTGACTTCTGTGTTTTACTGTAACTCAAGCTCAAGCTTACCTGATTATTCAGGACTTCCGCACCACTCCTCAAAAGTTTTCCTACACCAAAACTCCCACCACCTAGTAACAGCTTTCACAAGATGCCAAAGCTCTCCTAAACCTCTAAAGCAGGGTGTATTTCCTGATCGAACAAAGAGCAGCAAAGAAGTGGGTGGTAACCGCCTCTCGCAGAGGCAAGCCAGGACCCATCGAGTCTCATCTACGAACACAAGCAGTAACAGCTCCGTTTCCCTAGCACCGTCGTATTTCCCGCGAAGACTGACTACCTCAAACTCGAAAACCGCAATTTTTATCGAGGAAGTGAAGCCTTTTCGTTTGAATCCTGAGAAAGCGGCGCTCAGAGAACCGGGCGAACAAAGGAGAGGGATGGAGCCCCGGCGAATCCGCAGAGTGAGTGTGCCCCAAGGCGTACCTGGGCCCTCACCCTCAGTAATTACCCGCCAGCCGCGACCCGGTCGAGGGGTCCGGGGTGAAGCTGGAGGCGGAGAAAAGGAGCAGACACTGCGGCCAGCTCGGAGAGGAAGGGAGGGGCGGGGCGGGAGAGAAAGGCGACGGGGGCGGCAGGGGGGTAGGGACGGGGACTGGGGGCGGGGCTCTCGCGGCCGCGGGGCTTTGTGTGAAGTCTGGGCCGTGGTAGATATTTTGACCCGGGGGGAGGGGTCGGGGTCCGGAGCAGGGCCCCCCCCACGCCTCTGCTCCAGCGAGCGGCGGACAGGAGAGGCGAGAGGGCAGAACATCCCCTGGGCCACCTCCACCTAGGCAGGCTAGGCCGGCGGCGGACCTTACAGCCGGAGGGAGAGCGGCAGGAGGGAGAAGGGGGCGTCCACCTTGCGGCCGCCACAGCTACGGCGGGGGCCGCCCGCCGCGGAGGGTCTCCCACTGACGGCGTCGGGTCGGGAATGGGTTAAGATGCGGCCAGACGTCGGTCCCTCCTCCTTCCCACCCCTCAGCACCGGCGCCCACTCGCTTCGGCGGCCGCGGAGCCCTGCTCGGCTCCCGGCCTGGCTCCCCAGCCCTGCCCGCCCACCCTTCCGCCGGCCCGGCCTCTCACCATCGTAGTAGTAGCAGACTTTCTTCTTGCCGCCTCCCTGACTGTACGCCATGGGCTCCCCGGCCACCGCCGCCTCCGGGCTCCGGCTCCTCCTCCTGCTGCTGCTGCTGCTGCCGCCGCGGCTCGGCGGGGAGAGAAAAGGGCTGGGGCGAAGGTGGGGGTGGCAGTCCCGAGGGAAAGGGCCGGCTGAAGGGAGGAGAGGAGGGGGCGCCGGGAGGACTCGGTACCGCCCGGCCGAGGGGCCGAGAGCGCGGAGCGGGGGGTGGCAGCGGCGCCAACTCGCGACACTGGGGAGGGGGAGGGGGCAGCCAAACCACCTCCGGAGGCCGAGGGGAGGTGGGACGCGTCCACTGTGGCCTTCGCGGGGGGTTAAAGGGGGTCCGATTAGAAAAAGAATCTTTGTCAGCCTTGCGATAAGAGGCCTTCTAATGATTAATGCCTTGCAGAGGGTGGCGCCAAATGCAGCAGCGAAATGAGAAAAAAGGTCAGGCTATCGCTCCAGAAGTAGATAAAGGGAGTGTGAAGCCGGGCCAGCGCTCCCCCCTTGCGATCTTCGCACGGTGGTTGCGCCTATCCGGAGCCTGCGCAGTCGCGCCTTCCCAACCGTAGCCTTGGCCGGCTAGACCCCCTCCGCGTCGTCCCACGCCGCTCCCCTCCCCCACTGTCGCGAAGCTCCCGCCCGAGCGGACCACGTGCCGGGAACCGGGCGGGGAGAGACCACTCTTGAACCCCTTCCGGCCTCCTCGAACACGCCAGGCTGCAGCCCATGGTCCCTGGGCCGGGTCGCCTCAGGTTTCTTGTCTGTTCATTTATTCTTTCTTTCTTTCTTTCTTTTTTTTTTTTTTGCTGATAATTGCTCCGAGGTTGCGACCGCTTAAGGGGACCTAATACAGACAATAAGTAGTACAATGTATTGCCTGGTTTTGGATGAGTATTTATAGAATGCATCAGGGAGTAAAGCACAGTCCTAACCATTTGCACTTATAATATTTTCATTGAGACCTATTTATAAAAGCTACCTGTTAGGTCATTTAAGACTCCCCCTAACGCTGGGCTATAAGTATTATTTCTATTTCTTTATCAAAGAACTTGGTCCCCTCCACTGTTGATGATCGGGGGGTTTGAATAAATTCAGTCTTTCCTCCAAGTCCACACATCCCTACTGCCGCTGGCCGGACACTGGAATATTGGAGCAGAATGCTGAGAGAAAACACTTTCAAAACTCATGGAAGCTGTAAATACCTATGTCTGATTAACAGGTCAACAAATATTTATCATGCACCTATTCTAAGCCAACCACATTGCATGTGAGGGGTGGTGGCGCCTGATGATCTGCAGTGTAGCATTCTTACTCCAACTACATTTGTACAATGTACATTTTTCCCCAAATACCCGAATATACACAGTCTTCCATACCTTCACGAAAAAAAAAAAAAGCCTTGTTGAAGCAGGAAACATTTGGAGCCGCTACCAAAAATATCTTTTTTATTTTGCTATTTGACTTCAAAATCCCCAAGGTGTGATACTTAAAGTAGCAATTTTCTTGGATCCCGCCTCAAGAAGTTTTAAGAGAAGTCCAGAGTAACCCCCTTCCCCCAAGACTGTGTTTTTAACAAGCACACCAGGCAACTGATGTAGTTGGTACAGGAACCATTGGCTTAAAGTTAATTACAAGGTATTGACTTTAAAGTTTTACTCTTATAAAGTCCAAAATCAACTTGGTAGAGTCTGAGCGGAAACTAAGATTCTTCTCAGATTCAACATAGTGAAGTCTGAAATGAGATACTTAAGGAAAATTTCCCAGAATCAACCTACCTCCCTGATCCCAAGTCTTCTTTGCCCCTCCTATTATTCTTGAGACTAGTACTGCTCTAGCTCAACACCATGTTAAGATTGCTCACAACTTCTTTTAACTTCTCATTGGAATAGAGGTTAGCCAGAGGAGGGTCTGTGTGTGTCTTGCATGCGGTTTTATCTCTATGCCTATGTCTTGGGGCAAGTCACTTAACCTTTGTTTGGTCTGAATTGCCTTATCTGTAAAATGAGGCAGTATTACTTGAAGAACAGTTCCTCATATGAATACTGAGTGGCTCAAATAAAATTAATATGGAATGATTTTAAAACAATGAAGAACTTTGTAAATATAAAGGATTTTTATGATTAATGTTATAATACTAGTAATAATAATGTTTGCATCCACAGCAGCTACCTTTGAACATGTGAGATGAGCCTGGACATATATATCTTGACTGTTGAGGAACTTGTTATTTATTATTTAATAATTTTAAACTAATTGAAGCAAATTGTTTTACCCTTAGAAACCTAGCATTGGAGAAGGATATCTTACGCAGTGATAGGAGCTGGCCAAGTGAATTCTGTGCCCTAAATGCCTATAATGAACTGTAGATTATCAAACATTCAATCAGTTATTGAAACTTATTGACAGGCTCCAATTTCATTTATCATATTCAAACTCAACTCTCACAAACCTTTTTAACATCAGAAAAAAAAAAGAAAGATTTAGGGGCACCTGGGTGGCTCAGTCGGTGGGCATCCAACTTCCACTCAGGTCATGATCTTGCGGTCCATGAGTTAAAGCCCATGTCCAGGTAGCTCTATGCTGACAGCTCAGAGATTCTGTGTCTCCCTTTCTCTCTGCCCTTCCCCTGCATTTGCGCGTGCTCGCTCGCTTGCTCTCTCTCTCTCTCTCTCTCTCAAAAATAAATAAACATTAAAAAGAAAAAAAAAGAAATATGTTTTAGACAATATACAGAATGAAACAAGTTGAGAACATGGTTAACTCATGTAATGTGTAATCGAGGGTTGTCTTTATTTTTTTTTTTACCTTATTTTTTAAATGTTCGCTTATGGGGAGGGTGAGGGGTAAGGAGAGAGGGGGACAGAGGGTCCAAAGCAGGCTCCTCACTGACAGCAGCGAGCCCCCATGTGGAATTCAGAAGGTTGAGATCATGACCTGAGCTAAAGTTGGACGCTCAACCAACTGAGCCACCCAGGGGCCTGGAGGATTGTCTTTATTCTTAAACTATATTTCTTTATTAGTTTCTACTCTGTTTATATGGACATATCTTTACAATCTTGAAGATGTTTAGTATGAGATTATTCAGTGAAAGGATCTGTTAAACATAAATGGATTATTTCGACTATCTAGAACTGATTAACTGGAAACTATTTAGATTATTTACATTACAAACCGATTGTCTCAAAGAAAAAACCAAAAACAATAGTCTCAGTTTATGCTAAAAATGAAACCCTGCTACCAACTGCAGCAGATAGTGTAAATTTTAGTTACTATAAAAGAATTGTTCATATAAGCTTGTTTCTACTCTAAGGAAATTTAGATTTCTTGGTGTTAAATTTTGTGTAGCAATTCCATAAGGTAATACAGAAGGTAGAGAAGTATAATTACTAACATGAGGGTGCTGTCACAAACTAACCAGCCTCAAGCTGAATTTTGATTTCCCTAGAAGCATGGTTCCTATTTTTACCCAGTACTATAAGCCAGAACTCATTAATCTGAACAGTAACACCAAATAATGAAAGATTATAGTGCTCGTTGAGCTGTGCATTAGTGTAATAAAATTAAAAATTTCCCAATTTTATTAAAAATAGATTTTTGAATCATAGCTTATCTACAAAATTATTCAGTTACATTAAACTTTTCATGCCATCCCTCTTAGCTTCTTAGCTGATGGATGCTTTGCTTCTGTCCCTTAAAACCAAGTATTACTTTGATCCAACCCATCTACTTATACAGATTTTCTTTTTTTTTATATATATATTTTTTTATTTATTTGTAGGAGAGAGAGAGTGACAGCGTGAGCAGGGGAGGGTCAGAGAGAGAGGGAGTCACAGACTGAAACAGGCTCCAGGCTCTGAGCTGGCAGTCAGCACAGAGCCCGACGCGGGGCTTGAACCCACGAACCGCGAGATCATGACCTAAGCGAAAGTCGGACGCTTAACCGACTAAGCCACCCATGTGCCCCTACTTATACAGATTTTCTAGAAAAATTCTACACCCCTGCTTTATCTGGGAAAATCTTTTTGCTAGTGTCTGCTGATCACCCTACATATGTGTCTTAATTCTTCATCTTTCCTATCTCAAAGTTTTAACTTTCCTTCAAACCTGAGCATTACTTCTCTCTACTTAGCACGGAACTGTACAAATGGAGGTAGAGTCTGCATGTTGGGACCACCGAGTGAAAAGTGAAATAATGAGGATTGTGGAGCAGATAGGTGAGACCTGGGTCTTTGAAGACCTCGTTTATATCTGTACCATCAGGCCAGGACTGTCCCCCTCTGGACTTCTGGTTACATGCAGCAAAAAAAGACACATCAAAACAAATATTTGGTTAAACCGCTGTAGTCAGGATTTTGTTAAATGCAGTTGAATACAATCCTACTTCATATAAAATATGCATTAGAAGTTAGTGGCTTCTGGTGATTTCTAGTTAGAAATTACAGATTTCTGTGGAGAGACAGCTCTCCATGGGTCTGAACATCTTGAGAGTAGAGGTACTGAATGCCCTTTTTTCCAAACAATCTATTCAAAGATGTTTGTATAAAGAACAGCTTTGGAAGATATGAGACAGTGACGCCCTCTGGGGCAAAGGTAGGGCATGTGTACTACCCATTATAAAAGATTCAAGTTCTCCAAATTCAGGGTTCATCTCTGTAATGCCGCACGCAAAAAGCATAGGTGTCATCTGGCCCTCTTCCTCATCACCTATAGGAATTGGGGCTTGGCCACAGCACAAAAAACAATACTTATACTCTGGTCACTGCTATTGCTTTGAATAATAAATTACCTTTGCCTTTCACACAGGAGTCTTGTGTCTATGAAACTGTGGTTGGCTGGCTTGTTAGCTTGTAAATAGTGTAAAATCTCAGACCCTTCCCATTTCTTGACAGTTTTTGGTGATGAGATCAGGGTGCTGATACACAGCTTTCTAAAAAAGGAAAGATGAGAGCCTTGTCAACCAACAGAATTTGAGGGAAGTCCATGGGAATTGGTAGCAAACATTTGACCATATTATACAATCAACAGGGAATTAAATGGCCCTCCACTGTATTGCTTGTTAATGAGGAGGAATTGCGGGACTTGCAGGCTGAATACCAACAAGTAGGTTTAAAGACAGGTGGCTGCACAGTATCGTGCTTGTGTAACTTTCCTCCAGGCGGGGGCACTTCATCACCATGTTGGAGACACAGTCATCCTGTGTTTTCAGACTTAGGTTGTCCCACTAGGGATCCCCAACAATTATAATAAATAATACTTTATTTCTGGGGATACCCTGTTCACTCCCAGGACTATACTTCTTGTATGGAAGCCAGGTATTAATTTTACCACTTCCAAGATCACAGTAACGTGCACCCTAGCTGTGGTCATAAGAGACTTTAAAGTGTTTAAGGACCCACTGGTAGGTGGCATAAGTTTCAGATGACACTGGAGATCTCTCTGAAACAGGGCCGCCCTTAGTTATTTGGAGAAACTTACCAGAGGGATAACTGACTCATTTATGTGCAGTCTGTGGTTGATTATCCTGATGATGTCAGGCAATTAGAAAAAACGGTAAGAAATTTTCCCTGAGTTTAGCTAAAGAGATCAGTGATGCCACCTAAGCCTTAGAAAGCAGTTAGGTCTGCCTCAACTCACTGGCCAGAGTTGTTACAGATGATAGAACTGCCCTAGGTGGCAGGTTTTGAACCATCCTTAATACATCAGCAGAACTAGATGAATGCCTCAGACCAGATAGAAAGGTGAAAACAGAATC